CCAATGTTGAATCATACCAAAGTATCTATCACTAGAGAGAAACGAACTCGAGACTACATACCGGAAGGAACTTTATCTTTCAATGATGAGGCCCGGAAGGGATTGTACAGCCCCACAATGATGCGCTGGTAATATCTGTACTCGTAAAAATAATTCGAGTTAAACGTATGTTAATTGATCCAGGTATCTCGGCCAACATCATTCGATCGAGGGTCGAGGAGCAGCTCGGTCTACAAGACGAAATCGTGCCTACAGTCTGAGTTCTAAACGGATTCAACATGGCATGTGAAACCACTAAGGGTAAGATAATATTACCGGTAAACACCGCCGGTACCATATAGCAAGCTAAGTTTTATGTAATCGAAGGAGACATGAGGTACAACGCTTTGTTTGGAAAGCCATGGATCCACAACATGAGGGCAGTACCCTCAACTCTGCACCAAGTGTTAAAATTCCCAACACCGGATGGAATTAAAATGGTCTACGGACAACAGCCATCCATAAAGGAGATGTTTGCGGTCGAAAAGGCAATTCTGATATCCGCACTTACAATGACAAAGGGGTCGAGTTCGATTACAAAGCTAGAAACCAAATAGCAATTACCGACACTAGCTCCGACCCAACCGAAAAAATAGGAGACTGATAAAGACGATGATTATGGGGTACCCAGGTCTTTTATAGCCCCTGATGATTCCGACGCCACCAAATCGACGGCCGAGGAGCTGGAACAGGTCATATTGGTCGAGCATCTACCCGATCGATATGTATACCTGGGCACGAGGCTAAATCCCGAGCTTAGGAAAAAAAACTCATTATATTTCTTATGGCTAACATAGATTGTTTCGCTTGGTCCCACCTTGATATGATAGGGATCCCACCGGAGATAACCACTCACAAGCTGAGCCTGGACCAGAAGTTCCATCCGGTCAAGCAAAAGAGGAGACCCCAGTCCTAGGTTAAACATGCTTTCATCAAGGACGAGATATCTAAACTCCTTAAAATAGGGTCCATTCGGGAGGTTAAATACCCGGATTGGTTAGCAAATATAGTAGTAGTCCCTAAAAAAGAGAACAAATTAAGAATGTGTGTAGACTATAAGGATTTGAATAAGGCATGCCCCAGGGATTCTTTCCCTTTGCCCAACATCGATCGAATGATCGATGCCACGGACAGCCACGAGATCCTCAATTTTCTCGATGCCTACTCCGGGTACAATCAAATACGGATGGACCTGGGTGATCAGGAAAAAACCTCCTTCATCACTAAATACGACACTTATTGCTACAACATGATGCCATTTGATTTAAAGAACGTCTGTGCCACTTACTAATGCCTAGTAAATAGGATGTTCGAGGAACAAATAGGAAAATCAATGGAGGTTTACATTGACGACATGTTGGTTAAGTCCCTGCGAGCAGAGGACCATTTAAAATATTTACAGGAAACCTTGAGCATATTTAAGAAATACAATATGAAGCTGAACCCAGAGAAATACGCATTTGGAGTTGGATCAGGTAAATTCCTCGGGTTCATGGTATTCAACTGAGGAATCGAGATCAACCCCGACAAAATCAAAGCTATCGAAGACATCACGATTGTGGACAACGTGAAGGTCATGCAAAGATTAACCGAGTGCATACCCGTCCTGCGGCGATTCATTTCGAGGTCATCCGACAAGAGCCACCGATTCTTCGCACTATTGAAGAAGAAGAATAACTTCTCATGGACCCCGAAATGCCAATGAAATTTGGAGGAACTCAAATGGTACTTATCGAGCCCACCGCTGCTTCACACACCGAAAGAAGACGAACAACTATATTTGTACTTGGCAGTTTCGGAGATAGTGGTAAGTGGAGTCCTGGTTCGGGAAGAGCAAGATATGCAATTTCCAATTTACTATGTTAGCAGGACCCTAGGTGAGACCGAAACTAGGTATCCTTACCTAGAACAATTGGCGCTCGCTTTGCTAAGCACCTCTAGGAAACTAAAACCATACTTCTAGTCTCACCCCATATGTGTCGTAAAAACTTACCCGTTGAGAAACGTTATGCATAAGCCCGAGATCTCGGGCCGGCTGACCAAATGGGCCGTGGAAATCAGTGGGTACGATATTGAATAGCGACCCCGGACCGCCATTAAGTCTCAAAATTTGGAGGACTTTGTAGCTGACTTTACGCCGGCCCTAATACCCGAGGTCGAAAGAGAGTTATTGATCAACTCAGGGACCTCCTTGGGAATCTAGACCCTATTTACGGACGGCGCCTCGAACGCAAAAGGGTCCGGACTTGGCATCGTATTGAAGCCACCAATATGCAATGTAGTTAGGCAATCTATTAGGACTGTGAAATTGATTAACAATAAGGCCGAATATGAGGCCATGATTGCAGGTCTCGAACTAGCCAAAAGCTTGGGGCAGATATAATTGAAGCTAAGAGCGACTCCCTCCTTGTGGTAAACCAAGTTAATGGGACATTCGAGGTCAGAGAAGAACGAATGCAAAGGTACATATATAAATTGCAGGTAACATTACATCGATTCAAAGAATGGACTTTGCAACACATACCTCGGGATCAAAACAGTGAGGCTGATGCCCTTCCTAACCTAGGGTCATCGGTCGAGGACGACGAATTCAACTCGAGGTCAGTCGTACAATTTATGAGATCGGTAATGGAGGAAGGCCATGCCGAGATTAACTCAACGAGCCTAACTTAGGACTGGAGAAATAAATATATAGAATACATGAAGACCAAAAAACTGTCGTCGGATCCAAAGGAATCAAGGGCCTTACTTACAAAGGAACCTAGTTTAGCCTATCTGAAGATGGAACCCTGTTCAGAAGGGCGTTCGATAGCCCACTCGCGATATGTCTTGGACCAGGGGACACCGTATACGTTTTAAGGGAAATCCACGAATGCACCTGTAGAAATCATTCAAGCGCCGAATCACTGGTTCCAAAAGTTATCAGAGCCGACTATTACTGGATTGATATGGAAAAGGACGCAAAGGAGTTCGTACGAAAATATGATGAATGTCAAAGACACGCTCCGATGATTCATCAGCCCGGGGAACTGTTCCATTTGGTCTTGTCACTATGGCTGTTCATAAAGTGGGGAATAGATATTGTCGGCCCTCTTCCATGGGCACCTGGTAAGGCTCAATTCATATTGTTTATGACTGACTATTTTTCTAAGTGGGTGGAAGCCCAGGCATACGAAAAGGTAAGGGAGAAAGAGGTCATTGACTTCATTTGGGATCATATCATATGCCGATTCAGAATGCCGGCCGAGATCGTGTGTGACAACGGAAAATAATTTATCGGTAGCAAGGTAAGCAAGTTTCTCGAAGATCATAAGATCAAAAGGATCTTATCAACACCCTACCACCCCAGTGGGAACGGGCAAGCAAAATCGACCAACAAAACCATACTCCAAAGCCTCAAAAAGAGGTTAACCGACGCCAACAAAATGTGGAAGGAAATCCTACCTAAAGTCTTATGGGCAAACCGAACTAGTTCAAAGTCCAGTACCGGGGCCACCCCGTTCTCACTAGTCTACGGCACCGAAGCTCTGATACAGGTCGTAGTCGGAGAGCCAAGTCTCAGATTCCGATATGCAACCGAGGAATCAAATGACAAATCTATGAACATGAACCTCAATTTATTGGATGAAAGGTGCGAATTAGCCCTTGTCCGGTTGGCCGCCCAAAAGCAGCAGATCGAGAGATATTACAATCAAAGGACCAACCTTCGACACTTTAGTATCGGGGACTTGGTACTAAGGAAGGTTACATTAAACACCCAAATCTGGAATGAAGGGATGTTGGGGCCGAACTGGGAAGGCCCTTACCAAATTATCAAGATCACCGGTGAAGGATCGTACAAACTCAGAACGATGAAGGGTGAGCAACTACCGAACAATTGGAACATAGCTCACTTGAAGCGATACTATTGCTAAGGTACGATCCCATTCATTTCCTTTTATTTATTTACATTCCGAACTAACATTTGCAGGGAATCATCGAGAAACATTATAATTTTTAGGTCTGAAAGCGTGCGTTGCACTCTTTTTCCCTTGAACCAGTTTTGTCCCAAATGGGTTTTCGGCAAGGTTTTTAACGAGGCAACGGTAAATCGTGCTAACTTAGAATTGAAGGTCGGTTACGAATCCGTATCGAAGGTCACGACAACAGTATTTGATGCCTCTCTATGCTCGGCCCTCGAATAACAACTTTAGCAAGGAAAGAAACTTTACGATTCAATGATATCGGCTCGATCGGTAGGATTTACTGTAAGGGCCAAGCGGTCACATGAACCGTGCCCACATAGACTACTCAATCCCTGGCATGAAACATGTACACATGTGTAACTCTCACACACAAGAATAAAAGAAGTTTCTACCTTGCGGATAAATATCTTGTCCTTTAAGAATTTCTTTTTTTTCTTTTAAGGAATTTCGTACATTCGATCCCCTAAAGGTACCGAGCCCAAGGGCCGCCTTTTACCGGGTTCAAACGATCACCCCAATCAGGGACTGCCGTTCAAAATCAAACTCGGACGGCTCAAGCTATCGGAGCCCAAGGGAACAAGACCTATTAGGCAACGCCCGAACCTTAAATGCTACAACCACCCCATTCGGGGACTGTTATCTTAGGCAAATCCCAGATAACTCGGATTAAAACCCATTGGGCAACACCCGAACTAAAATGTCTACGGCCATACTGAAATGGCTCGGAGACGTCCGAGACCCGTAACTAAAACAAGGCCTTCAAAAAATTTCATAATCGGTTCTAAAGACCACCCTCGACAAACTATAATCTAAACTACTTTGGAAAAAGTTTCCGGTAATACCGAATTCCCACGATGTCTTAAAATGAAATAATGTTGAAGGCAAGGTTTGTTCGAACCTCCAAATGTAACCTAACTACTTCATGCTAAGGCATTTCGATCTTTGCGAATATAAATAATAAAGCAGAGGGAAAATTTAAAAGCTGTTGAAGGGAAAAAGCCTTATATACATATCAAAAAGTCTTTTTACAAAACCGCCCTAAAACAAATTTTTACAAAGGCCAAACGGCCTCGACAAAAGGGTAATATAAAAAGCAAAAAACAAAAACATCTGAAAAGAGCCTAAGTGGCCTAGTCTTCGCCGGGAGCCGCATCATCACATTCACCCCCCTGTCTTCCTCGGACTCGCCCAAATCCTCAGAACCTTCATCATCTTCGGGAAAGGCCAGTTTTTTGGCCTCGGCTTCGAGCTCTTTGGCAATCTCAATCTCAGCCGATAAGTCGAAACCCCGAGCATGAATTTCCTCGAGGGCCTCCCTTCGAGATTGCCATTTCGTGTACTCGATGACATCCTTTGCTCGAACCTGAGCCGCCTCGGTATCGGCCTTATAAATGGCCACCATCTCGTCGGCATCGATTTTAACTACCTTGGCCTCCGACTTGGCCGTCTCGAGCTCTTTGGCCAGCTTTTCTCGATCGGAAACAGCCGAATTTAGATGAGATTGAAGCCCCTCGATCTTTTTGGCCTGCACCAAGGCCTTTTTCTTCGCAGCTCGAAGACTCGGCCGAGGCCAGCTGTGCCCGGCCAGTCTTCTTTTTCGAGGGCAAGCGGTCTATGTTTATTTTCCATTCTTAGGCTTCGGCCTTTACTACATCCACCTCTGCCTGGAGCTGCTCGATTTTATCAAGTTTTTTTTGGACCTGCGGGTTCGGACCGTTAGCCACCATAACTGACTCATCGTCACTAACCTCAAGTACTCTTCTTACCTGCTCGACCAGGTCGGCATGCTCCTTCCGAGCCGCCTCTAGCTCAGCCTGGAGTCTCTCACTAAGAAGTTTGTAAGCATCCCTTCTTCTCAGTGAGCCCTCGAGTCTCGGCCTCATGATGGTTTAAATCTTCCCGATATCAGAGAAATGTCTCGTGATGAAGCACCAATGCCTGCAAGCACCAAGAAAAAAGTTACGATTATTTACGACTTAATCTAAGTACATAATAGAGGTCGTCAAGAGGCATCCGAAGTTACCCGACTTAATCTAAGTCTCAAGACCTTTACAGTGTCGGCAATGGGCTCGTCATCCAAATCATTAGGGGTAGGACACTTCGCACGTCAAGTATTTCTTTCTACCCGATTCGAAGGTGACTCATTCTTATCGAGACGAGTTTTATTAGTTGAACCATCCTGTTGACTTCTATCATGGATATTGTCCACGGGCTCGTCGTTGTTGTTTGATCCAACATTGAGCGAGTTGTTGACATCGTTGGGTGCCATAGTTGTTTTATGCTTACAACAGAAAAGCTTTAAAGTGTGTTAGTAAAAGATGAATGGATCAAAGTAATACCATAATTATCTATGCCTCACGGTGAGCGTCAAACTGTTTACCCAAAAAATAGTACTATAACATGGTTTATAGACACATGGATTAATTTGATCTGATAAAATAAAATAATAAAGTGCAAACAGAATAAATAAGGATAAATAAAGAAGAGACAAGCCTGAGCTTCAGAATGTTCCCAGCGGGGATCAAGAATAATTGAAAAATCTTGACCACACTCGTATAAAGCTTGAAAGAATGAGAGAAACAATATTAATTTTTTGCTACCGGTATTTCGTCATGTCTTTACAATAGAATGAAAACCTCTATTTATACTAGAGTTATGTGATATATGATCTACAAATTATACCCCCTTAATTACCAATACTAATGCAAAAGGTAGTTAAAAGGTGATGAATAACAATAAAAGATAATAAAATCTAATAAAGGCCAAAGAAATCTTGGGGTCTTCTATAACATTTCTATAATGGTCATATTTGAATTGCTCCTTACCCGTTTGTATCTAGTGTCACCATGATTGAGTCTTCTCGAGGCCAAAACCATTATCTTCTCGGTTTCTGAAGCTATTTAGAAGGAAAGTTAATTTAACTTTTTGCATAAGCACAATTATGGGTTTTTAATCATTCATTACTTGGTTTGCAATGTCAAACAACTGGTATATCTTCTCTGTTAAGTCTTCATTATCATCATAACGCTGCCTCCAAATTGTACTAATTGACATAGGAACAGTATTTAATATAAATTAAAATCAAGCACAAATCTTAGCATTTCGTTAAGATGGACATTTTTTAGAAGTGCATTAGAATAAAAGAGAATGGAATAAATTAATTCAAAATCAACAATTCAATAAAGCTACGAAATCCAAATATAATATAAGCAAAGAAATTAATTCCAATAAATCGAATATATTAACAAAAGAATCAGGTTAATACCCGAACAATGACAAATCACCAAACGACTATACAAATCAATCCTGAAAACGCAAATCTCTGTTCAAAAACGAACGCATTGTCTCAACGGAGCGAATAAGGAGACAAGTAGAGATGTCGCAATCAAGGAACCGGAAGCCGGTAAAGAGAACGCCGCTCCGGCGTCCGGTGACGGAGCCGGTGCCATCCCAATCTCCTGTGCGGAAGAAGCAACGGCGGCAAGGAGGACAGCGAGAATCAAGGCTTGGATTGTAATGCTAATTTGAGCCATAATCTCTGAGATCTGTTGTTATCGGAAAATTGAGAAATTGTGGTATGCTACAATATGTTCTGTGAGTTGGTGAAGAAGATGGTCAATAATGCGTGGTGATTATAAAGGATAGGAGCGGAGGGAGGGATTTGTGGGGCCGTATGTGAAGAGTGACAGGGGCGAGACTAGCGATTTTGAGAAATGGCCAGTTCACCTAACAGCTCATAATTTGGTGGTAGCGAATTTGAGAGAAGGCTTAGCCCAGCGGAAAACAATTCTCCATTTTCACGATATAGGAGGAAGGTTTGCGTATATATTATCTTCTCAAACTTCATTAATAATAGAATTACATTGATTTATTGTTATTGAATATGAGAAATGGCCAAGTTATTTGCTCAACATGATTATAGCTCCCTGTCTTCCATTATTTTACAAGAACTTTCGCTGAACACAAAGATTAAAAATTTTAATTTTAAATATATAATCATACTTGTTTGGCAATAAAAAAAATTTAAAATATGTATTGTTAAATCTACTAAGTAATATATTTATATGATCATATCATGTCATTTAAATTAAAATAAAAAATTTAAAATTAAATTATCGTATATAACGAAATTATTTTTTTGTAATAGAATAATAATAATAATCTTTTTCCATTAAAACTAAAATAGTATCACGTATATAAAATAAATCAGAGAGTGACGCTTTTTTATATATTTTTTGACTTTATTTAATGCTTAGACATATCAGACCGATGGGTAAACCACTGCTCTAATATAACACCCCATGTGGCAGAATTTTATCAGCTGCCGAGCAAGGGCGGATGTAGTGCATTGTCGACGGGTTCAATTGAACTCATAATTTTCGACGCGGAGTAAAAATTTATATATAAAAATTCATTAAAATTATAAAAATAGTAAATATGAACCAATAACTTTAAATATATAATGAGTTCAATGCTAAAAATTTCAAACCGCCTCGGTCGCGAAGGAGATTTGATTCAACCCTTAGCAACACCCCCTAAAGGCATTTGGCCCTTGCTTATTATAATAACCAGGTTAAGTTACATGAAATTTTTAGTTGGACTTCATCAAATATCTTTGATTGACCCTCTCAACTTCGTTTATTATTTTGTGAGCGGAACAAACTTAATCCGCCTAATTTTCCACTCGATTAAAACATATGTACCATCCGCGTAAACTGAGACCAAGTATCAAAATTGGCTGCAAGGAGAATAGCGCTGAGTCTCCAATTAAAAGTCTTTGGTCCGTGGCTTAAAATTAAATCTACTCGAGTTAAGATTTGAATTTGTGACGTTACCGACAATAACATGGATAGGCCAACCACCACTATAGCATCTCCATACCATATGGCAGAATTATATAGGCCGCCGCCCAATTATTAGCACACGTCTTATAATAATGGTGTTTTTGGTCACCATAATATAACAAACGTCGTCAATTTACACGCCATTTGAGTTGGTCTCCTTCCAAGTGGCTATTACAAAAGTTAAGCTCCTTCTCTCGTTCGTTACTTATAAATATCAAACATATTTCCCCTACAACTTCATTACTTCAATCCAAGTGCTCAAGTTGCTTGCTTGAATCAGCTTTTAACACTAGAAGGCAAATATACCTTTTCTTCACTTGTATAGAAATGGCGCAACTTAACATCTACAAGGCTTTCGTGCTCGCTGTCATTGTTGTTGCGGTTGCTGCCTCCGCACAGGAAGTTGGAATGGCTCCGGCACTATCGCCAGATGCTGGCGCTGGTTTCTCTTTTCCTGTTTCTGGTGCTTTGATTGGCACCTCTTTGCTCTTCACCCTAGTTGCTTTCTTCATGCAGTGATTTTACTATTGTCCCTATTATGATTTAAAAAAGAAAAGAAAAGTTCATTATTCATTTTCTCAGATCTTTGCCAGAACTTGCTAGCAAGTTGGCCATCATATATTGCAGTGGATATGGTCATTCGATATTGAGATATTGTAAATCTTGTTATTTTAGTCACTGTCAAATAATAAAGTTACTATCCATAATTAAGTCGAGATCATAGCAGTATTTGTTTTATGATTTAGCCTCTTTTTTATTTATTTGTACTAATTTTAGTATACGTACGTGTTTTTTGCGCCTATTTATAAAAAGTGTATGAAAATTAGAATTAAAAATAAATTATCTGTAATAGCAATTGATATCGAGATAAATGCAATATTTTATAAAATTAACAATAAATATTACACATCCCCTAAACTTGATACGTTATTCAATGCAATATAACACGATGGGGAGTCATATTTGAAAGATAGAATACTGAAAAATCCCCTAAACTTGATACGTTATTCAATGTAGATATATAAATTTATGTTCCCTTAAATTAATTACCACATAGACTTGATTATTTGGCTCCTGTTGAGGACAAGATGTAGGAAACGAGGCTTAGATAGTTTTGACATGTGAGGAGGGGGAGCACAGACATCCCAGTGAGAAGGTGTGAGAAGTTGACATTGGAGGGCCTGCGGAGAGGTAGAGGTACGTTGAAGAAGAAGTGGGGAGAGGTGATTAGGCAAGACATGGCGCAGCTTCAGCTGACCGAGAACATGACCCTTGATAGGAAGGTATGGAGGTCGAGGATTAGGGTAGTAGGGTAGGTGGTCTAGATTGTTCATACCAGTAGTATTGGTACGTACTCTCGCATTTTGTTGGTAGTAGGTTTCTATGACTAACCGTTGTTTTCTTTCACTATTGGTCATCTTACTATCTTGTTGTTTATTCTGCTTTTATATGACTTTTTGGTGTTGTCCCTTCTTGTCTATATTTTTATCAATGTGGTGTTTATGCTTTCCTGAGCCGAGAGTCTATTGGAAATAGTATCCCTATTGTCACGACCCAACTGGAGGGTCATGACTAGCACCCGGGCCATACTTGCCGAGCACCAACGTACATTTTATCTAACCTTCCTTATTATCTTTAAGGGCCGACAAGATCAATATAAATGGTAGACATGGATCATGAACATCCAACAATGAAAGATAATGTCATGAACATACATAACATGGGACGACAAGACTGTCAAGAAACTATATATAAGGTACGAGCTACCATGAGTCGACACCTGTCTATGAGCCTCTAAA